CCGAGAGGGCCAAAAAACTAAAACCCGATTAATTGTAAAAACAAATAAAGATATATATAGAATAAAAAAAATAAGAAACAAAGGAAAAGTTCTTATTCGAAGCGCCTCGTGATCGTCAACCAATTCTGTGCTTCAATATAATTACCAGGAGTAAGCGTTATAGCCTGTTTCCAATACTCAGCGGCTTGAGCGAACCAAGCCTCCGCCATTTCAGAATCTCCTTGTTGAATGGCCTGTTCTCCACGGTCGGAATAGGCGGGTCCCTCCCTGAGAACCGTACTTGAGAGTTTCCTACCTCATACGGCTCGACAACCAACTCTTTTGTTTTGGTGTACCAGTTTTTTCACTTTAACCAACTTTAACTATATATCTAATTAAAAATCTAATTGAACGAGATTTCTTATAGATATTCGGTTTTTCTTGAATTAAACAAAAGAGAGTAATTACATGAGTTTCAAACTTTCATTTTGATTTAATTATTAATTATATAGAATAAGTTTTATCTTTTCTCCTACCTTCAGAAAAAAGGCATGGCCACTGTTATTAGATATTAGAATTTTCTGAAAGGTAACTATCCCGCTTTCATATAAAAATATATATAGAATCTTTGAAAAAGACTTTTTTCATATTTCATAAAAAGAAAAAGACTTACTGTCTTTAGGATCTGATGCTACACCGCTGCTCAATACCTTAGGGGATAAACTCTATTACATAAGTAGATTCCTAAGATTTATCTCATATTATGATATAAATAAGCAGCTTTTGTTGTATCGGTACAAAACCTTTCCAATTGATCTTTACGGTGCTTCCTCTATCAATTAAATCTTTTTTTATCCATAGAAGAAAGTATTTAGGCATATCTAGTCTTCACTTCATATTTCGATCTATGAAGTTTATTTATTTGCTACAGCTGATAAAAAATCGTTTTGGACGATGCTTATGTAGAAAGCCCTTTTTTGTGTTTCTAGTATTTAATTGACTAGCTATTCGTTCTTTTTTTTCTATAGTGGAGATAGCCGCACGTAATGACAGATCACAGCCATATTATTAAAAGCTTGTGGTAAAAAGGGGTTTCGTTCTAATGCCCGAAAATAATATTCTAAAGCTTTGGTATGTTCCCCATTACTTGTGTGGATAAGGCCTATATTATAGAGTATATAACTTCGATCATAGGGGTCAATTTCTAGTCGCATAGCTTCATAATAATTCTGTAATGCTTCCGCATAATTTCCTTCAGATTGAGCCGACATCCGTTACGGTCGTCATTCGCTTTACCGAATTCTCCGTTTCAGAACCGTATGTGAGATTTTCATCTCATACGGCTCCTCCTTTAGGTACATAATCAAAATAATAAATATATGGAAAAATTTGATGTCATTATGACCTAAGCGGGGCTAATGTTTTTACAAGAAATCCCTAGCCAACCTTCTTGCAAAAGATCTTTTCTTACTACCAAGTGGGTTCATGCTAGATAAAAATAAAAAAGGAAACTCTAAAAATTTCTTTGTTCTCAACGCCCTTAAATTTCCAGGAATTAGTCACTTCAACAGTCTTCAATGGTTATACGGGTATCCAAAGTAAGAACAAGATGGATGTTTATTGTTCCAACCATTTTAATTAGTCCCAATCCCAAAGAAGAAGAAGAAAGAAAAGGAATCATTTTGAAGAAAGTTTTCATGTTGTTGATTTCTCGGCGTAGTGCTTCTTCCCCTGTGCCTCCTATTCGTAGAGTGTATTAGTTTGATCTGTAATACGGGAACCATAGGTAAAAACCTTTTGCTCAATACTAGAATTCACAATTGAAGCATCTAAGGCTGCATTAATCGTTGATACATGACAGAAGGGATTGCTTTTTTTTATATTATAAACTTCACCTTCAAAAGCGTAGATTTTTTTCAATAGTCGTTTTTCTTTCTATTCCAAATCGGCGAGAAATAAAAAAAAATAATAATAATCAAATCGCACCATCTCTGTAATAAGTAAATGCCTCCTTTTTCTCCGGAAGTTGTCGGAATGACTCGTAATAAGATATCGGCTACAATTGTAAAGGTTTTATCAATAAAATTTTCATTTATACGCGATCTTGGCATAGGTAGTAATCCATTCTATAACTCTTTTTATTTCCTTTACCTTTTCTTTTGTGAGAAAATTGTCTCACAAACAAAGGAATTTTATAGTACGAACTAACATAAAAGCGGAATCGTTAAAATAAAAAAACATTCTATCTACTTCCAATTTTTTCCGGTCAAAAAAGGTTTCTATTAACCATAATCTAAAAAACGATGAATAACTCGCTATTCACCCAGGTACTCAGTCATAACCCTGATGTCGGAGAGATGGCCGAGTGGTTGAAGGCGTAACATTGGAACTGTTATGTAGACTTTAGTTTACCGAGGGTTCGAATCCCTCTCTTTCCGTACTTTCAACTAATTCACCAATCTTATGTGATTAACCACAATTTATCAAATAAAAAAAAGAATAGATATAAAATCTACATTTCTTTGATATAGAGTTACCCCTAGAGAATACCAGATGAAATAGAACGATTTGAGAAAAGGACGCTATACGGAAAAGAGTCATCATTTTTAGACAGTAAGTGGCTTGACGAAGTCGGTAGTGTTCTTGCAGATACGAATTGGTATCTGCGGGTTTAGTGTGCTGGAGTAGAACAAGAAGAATTTGGAGAATCCAGAACCTCGAGGTGAAAGGCTCTTTCTTCTTAATATAGATCATTAACTTATAGATTAGATAGTTCATTGACTACGAGACTGGAATCTGATGCTTCTTTATTCCTAAAAGCAAGAGGAGCACACTAGTAGAAGTTGCGTCTTAGCGCTGTAGCTTTCTTTCCTCCAACCGGACCCTTTCTGAGCCTTATAGATAGATCGGGCAAAAATAATAAAGACAGATGATTACTAAGTTATAAAAGGTAATCGAAAAGTATGCGGATAAATGGAAGGATGAAAGAAAGAGAGAAAAAATTGAATATTAATGATATATTATTCCAATTTGGAAAGTCTATGAGGTCACTGTAAGAAAAACAATGTAATAAAGCATCAATACAGATTCAGTCATAATAATTAGATAAATCTGTTCCGAAACCAAAAAATTAAGAGCCTTGAGCCAATAAAAACTGAGAAAATTGACTCAAAAACAAATTAAAAAACTAGAAAGAATTCGCAGGAAATCTTTTGATAACACGGATTCCTATTTCTCAATCGTATCCCTTAGGAGCCGTACAGGCACCTTTTGATGAACTTCAAACGGGTTAGCTTTAACCATGTTAATTAATGGTCCCAAATTTTTGGTTGATAGAGAATCAAAGTAAAGTAGACTTACCAAAGAATAACGAAATGCTATGGTTCTAAAATATGATTTTTTTAGTGAATTTTTTATTCAGAAGTAATTCGCGAGATTAGGCACTCTTTCCTAGTTATATTCCTATCCATTATTTTGGAGATTTATAATTCTTCTGTTCTACTGGATGGAATTTCAGTGAATTAGACTCAGAAGAATCTTGAAGTATTAGCTTTTCGTTCGATACAAAAGAGTAAATAAAGTATGTATGTAGGTCTAAAAATTTTAGCATGGAAAATGATGGGAAGAGAAACCAAGGGATCCAAACCTCCCTATCAATCTATGATACATGAATAGGAAAAAGATTCCCCGACAAAATCCCTTACATTCGTACCTTTTTTTTATCAAAAAAGAGGGCTAAGGGGAGTTGTCCGAACTCTTGTTTTTAGTAATTTTTTTTACTTAAGTTAGGTTTATTAAGTCTGTCGAGAGTAATATTCTACGACAAGTAATTCATTTATTTTCAAACCGACGCATTTCCTATCTATGATTTGATTGACTAACCCTTCATATTGGAATGTGTGAAGAGTCAGATGGTTTGGCAATTCCTCGGGGGCAGATGAATCAAGAAGATTTTGAACCAAAGTTCTAGAGTTTTGTTCATCCTTCACTGTAATAATATCTCGGGGTTTGCGGCGATAACTTAGTATATCAACTATACGACCATTAACTAAAATATGTCCATGGTTAACTAATTGGCGCGCTTGAGGAATAGTCAAAGCCATACCCAATCGAAAAAGGATGTTATCCAAACGCATTTCAAGTAATTGTAATAAAACTTGACCCATTGACCCCTTGGCTTTTCCGGCGATACGAACATATTTAAGTAATTGGCGTTCTGTTTTTCTTCTAAACGAATACGATATTGCGATTTTTTTCCGGAGCGTGATTGGTTTCTAAGATCGCTTCCTGCCCTAGGTATTTTACTAGTTAGTCCCGGTAAAGCCCCCAGACGATGTATTTTTTTAAAACGAGGCCCTCGGTAACGTGACATAAAGACTCCTTTTTTATTGAAATTGTAACAAAACTAAACAAAATTAAAACTGAACTAAATGATAATGATAAATGACGTGAAATCCACTCCAATAAACTATTGGAATACAAAGAGTCAGAAGATATATTCTCTCAATATACAGATTTTTTTTATTGTATATACAATATATATAAATCAACTAAATCACAAAAATTTTCCTTTATTTTCTTGATTTATTTTGCAAAGATCTAACCCTTTTATCCCAATATATATTCCTATATGGAAGTTTATATGATATAATATAGATGGCGTGGTAACTCTTGGAAAAAGGTGAAAGAAGTCTTTTCAATCTTCTTTGATTTTTAAAGTACATTAAAAATCATGTAAAAAAACGACAAAATATGTAAAAGCCGGATATCGAAATCGAACCGATGACCATCGCATTACAAATGCGATGCTCTAACCTCTGAGCTAAGCGGGCTCAAATAAAATAGCGCATACATAGAAATTCACTAAACTACTAGATCATATCAATTAACTATTCTATTCATATTTTTCCTTATCTATTTAGAATTAATAATATTCTAGAACAGAATATAGCTCAAATAAATAATGACTATTATTAAATAAATAAAACATAACCTTAATTAATTAATTATTAATTATATAGAATATAGCAATAGATCAACTTTCTAATTTTTCATTAGTTTCGAAATCAAACTAAGAAAATCTTAATTAGATCAGAAATCTTATTTTTTTAAGTTAAATTATATCTGATTTGAAATTCTTGTTTTTTTGTTCTAACCTCATGCTATTATTATTATTTTAGCACTTTTTGTCTTTTTATTATATTTCTAATAGTATAGAATTATTAGAATTAATATTCGAAATGAATATTCGAATAGAATCTTTTAGAATTATTCGAATTTTAAATCGACACAGTAGAATTCGAAGTTTCAATAATAATCATAAATTTGTTTTCATGGGAAGTAAAAAAAAAAGAATGGACCGTTCGACTATTTCTTCAAATTTAAGACAAAGATGAGAAAAGGAAGAACATATATATGTTATGTAATATATAACCATATTGAATTGCAAATACAAAAATGATAGAATCTTTTTTGATTAGACTAAATCAATATGGATGGGGCTCAAAAAATGAAAGAAGATATAAAAAAAAATAAAATAAGTATCTATATGACATATGTAATGAATTCCAAGGTTTCGGCATAAGAAAAGTGGAAAGACATCATAATGAGATCAAAAAAGGGGATATGGCGGAATTGGTAGATGCTGCGGACTTAATTGGATTGAGCCTTGGTATGGAAACCTACTAAGTGATAACTTTCAAATTCAGAGAAACCCTGGAATTAACAATGGGCAATCCTGAGCCAAATCCTAGTTTACGTGAACAAACCAGAGTTTAGAAAGCGAGAAAAAAAGGGATAGGTGCAGAGACTCAATGGAAGCTGTTCTAAAAAATGGAGTTTACTACTTTGTGTTGATCAAATGATTCACTTCATAGTCTGATAGATCCTCGGTGGAACTTATTAATCGGACGAGAATAAAGATAGAGTCCCATTCTACATGTCAATACTGACAACAATGAAATTTATAGTAAGATGAAAATCCGTTGACTTTTAAAATCGTGAGGGTTCAAGTCCCTGTATCCCCAACTCTACTCCCCCAAAAAGTCTGTTTGACACCTTACCCTTTTTTAGTTATTCAAGAATTCATTATCTTTTGTCATTCATCCTACGCTTTTACAAACTATAATTTCTTTTCTTATTATATACAAGTCTTGTGGGATATATCATACACGTACAAATGAGAAAGAAATATCAATTTGAATTATTTATAATCGATATCATTTTTCAGTTTTAAACTGATAAAATCTTCTTTTCGAAGATCCAAGAAATTCCCGGTCCAAAACTTTTTTCATTTACTACTTTTGCGTGTCTTTTAATTGACATAGACCTAAGTCATCTAGTAAAATGAGGATGATACTTCGGTAATGGCCGAGATAACTCAGTTGGTAGAGCAGAGGACTCAAAATCCTCATGTCACCAGTTCAAATCGGTAATAGCCGGGATAGCTCAGTTGGTAGAGCAGAGGACTGAAAATCCTCGTGTCACCAGTTCAAATCTGGTTCTTGGCATAGGATTGATTAATTTTGATAAGTTTCTATTCTTCAAATTAAACGTATTTTTAGTAAAGTAAAAAAGTGCAATAATCCTTTATTCCCCTCTCTTTTTTTGTTCATTGTGGATCCATCCGTAGTATCTATAGTTGAAGGGCAGAAATACCCGAAGATTAGATACAATAAAAATCTAATTGTACCTCCCCCCCATTTATTGCTTTTCGATCTTATTTATTAATTCCCAGTTATGTCACTAAAGTTGACTAAGTTATGTGCGCGATACAAAGTTCATAATGCAGAGCTCTTTTTTTTTTTAGTTCATCCTATTGGCTCGGCTTTTACGAAAAAAAAAAGTATCTTTCAAATTGAACAAATTGGAGATCAAGCTATCTATAATAATATTAATGAGACCTCAATTCTTCTGTTTGTTTGATCTAAAAAAGAATCGAATTCAAAATAAGGTCCGTAGTTGTAGAAGCTAAGACTTTTTTTTATCATTCAATAAGCATCTTGTATTTCATAAAAATTGGGGGCAATATAATCCTTACGTAAAGGCCACCCTATCCAACTTTCGGGCATTAAGATCCGTTTCAGTCGTGGATGGCTATCATAAGTGATTCCTAACATATCATAAGATTCCCGTTCTTGAAAATCCGTACTTTTCCAAACCCAGAAAACAGATGGAATTCAGGGATTACTCCTGTGAGTAAATACTTTTATACAGACTTCTTCAGCTTGATTGACACCATATTCGATTCTCGTAAGATGATACACACTGGCTAAGAGGCCACCTGGTGCCACATCATAGGCACATTGCGAACGTAGATAATTGTAACCATATACATATAAAATTACAGCAACAGAATGCCAATCTTCGGGTTTTATTTGTAAAGTCTCTATTCCTGGGTAATCGAAGCCCAACGATTTATGAACCAGCCTGCGTTTGGCCCGCCAAACGGACAAAGTGCCCTGCATCTTTTTTATTTCCCCCACCCCTTTTTTATATAAAATAAGTATTTCACATTTACCA